CAAAGCCCCTTTATTTATTTAATTGAACAACACAAAATGCTGTAAAAAACCCCTCGCTATCACCTTTCCCATCATGACCGAAACCCTTGTGATACATTCATGACTCGAGGCAACGAGGAAAGCAATAGTGAGAGTGTGACAAACAAAGTCTCTAAAACTTTCCACTTTTCTCTCATTTGCACAAGCAGCCACAACCCTCCCACTCTCTCGTTTTCCTTGGTTCACTAGTCTCGCTACAGTAGCGGCACGAAAGGCAAACTGAAACCTCTCTTCTCATTTCCAGCTCGCACGTCTCTCCTCCGCTTTCGATTTTGCAATAGGAATTGAGTTGAGCAGCCTCCCTTCACCTTCTCTTGTTCGCACAAAACCGAAGGAAGCCCTCTCCCATTTGCGAATTGCTAGAGTAACCCCCCTCCCCCCTTTATCTTGTTGGAAAACCCCTCTCTTGCCCGAACCCATCCAGATACAATCAAGATTAGTGCTAGCAAGAAAAGCAAATGTGGAAACGTGGCATACAAAAACATCCGAACTCACATTTTTCTCTTATTCCGCTCCGCATCTGCAATAATTAAAATCAGAAGTTTGGTATTGTTCCAAAACCTACTTTAGCTTTGCCATCTCACCCTCGAGCCTCTCTTCCACGGTCACGTCTTGATCTTTGGCGATCAAATCAACCGCCGTCACCACCCATGGCTTCCCTCGATTCTTGTTGGAAGTTTCTAATCACTCATTTCATTGACTTTCAACTCGCTACATTTTGTTCCTTTATTATACATGAAAGCGTGTTCTTCCTTTCTAGACTTCCATCCATCTGCTCCAAGGGGACATGACTTTTCAGAAAAAATAAAATTCAGTTTCGGAAGTCAGCAAAGAAAGATGGTGAGATTCCATGTCGGGGGCAAGGTTATTAAAGTAGTCGCTCTGCTGAAGAATCGGCATAGTGCCTGGCACTTTTTAAGTGTGGACCTTTGCTATCATTAATAGCATATGGCTTTCTCTGGCGGTTACCAGCCTTGATTTCGCTGATGCTCTGATCAATGCTGGTGGTTCTGTTGCTTTTCACATCCTTGTCCTGCTTTTCACAGCGTGGCTAGTCGAGTTCAAATGCTTCGTCCAGTTTAGAAAGGTTATATACACTATGCAGATGTTGCATAGTTATTCGTGCTAAGTTTTCTAGTGCTAAAAAAATCATTCCTCTTCATTTCCAAATAACTGTTGTGGGGCCTTCAACCAGTAAACTTGAGGAAATATATTTTAATTTTAGAAAGCAACGTTCTGTTTTTCTGATCAGAAGGTAACTTTCTGCAAGCTCCCTTATCCAACAAAGGACCAGTTTGGTTATTATTTTAATAGCACTGGACACGGGACATAAGCTAAAGTTGCTACTGCTACTGATAAAAGGGGGAGAAATGTGTTTGAATATCCACAGCCAACATTCAGAAGTTAATGAACGAACAATGCATGGAGCCATTCTTCATGTTCCTAGTCTTTTGTGTGGGCCTCTGGTATTTAGATGAATATTGGTATCACAGCTTGTTGAAACTTTTTATGCTTCTTCTTTCTGAGCCAACAATGGTTAAGAATTGACTGAAAACCCAGACTGACAAAGATATATTCCATCATTTTCACAGTTTCATCGCAGTCAACACAGCCAAGCTTGAAAAGGTATAATAATATGGGTAGATAGAGCAAAATTTAAAATGACCGCTTGAGGAAGCTCGAGTACCTGCCGTTGGGAATTAAGTACCATTTAGAAAAAATTGCAAACTCATTTGGATTAGTTTTAACAAAATCAATGTTTCCTTATATCCATCCCTGGAAAACGCGGGTATCCGTCCTTGGAAAACGCAGGTATCTAGCCTTAGGAATTAAGTACTATTTGGAGAAAGTAAAATATCGCTCAGGGAATGCTAGTTTACAATTTGATCATTTTTGCAGGTATATCAAAAGCCCATTCAAGGGTCTCACGATATTGACTAGCGAGTCTTTGAAGATACATCCGCGCTGCCAAATTTTTGGGTGATTTGGACTTGCAAAATAATTTAAAATTTTGGACTATTTGGACTTTAAAACGACATAAAAATAGAGATTGCAAAATACAAAAAGATCACATGGATTTTAAATCGAAGTCATTTCACAACAACGACTAAATGCACATAAAATTTCTATAGGGTTTAGGATTTGATAAACCGCCAACTAATGTGATTGGGCTTCTGTTTGACTTCAAATTCTTTCATATTTGTAGGTGATCAAATAAAAATATATGTCCTAATGAAAATGAATCTTTATTTAACCTATTCAAAAACATAAATTGGGGGATCTCAAAAGTGACATAAATATGACATATCATAAATTGGGGTCAAACTTAAATTGAATACCTAATTCTATGATTTAGGGTCTGATCTCGATTTAAATGTCAAATATCATAAATTGGGGCAAAGTTTAAGACATAAATGTTATTTTTAAATGCTAAAATGAAAAATATTTTAATTTCACTATCAGATTCACAACATATTTGCAAGCGAATAGAAGACAATATTTAAAAAGCTTAAAAGTGAAAATTTTCATGCATCGATATATTAATTCAAATAAGGTAAATTTATAAAATCTCAAGTCTTATATGTGTCTTTCAAAATGATTTCTTGGTACAATATATTTAAAGCATGCAAATACTTTCTAATGAGTGCAATTATATCTTCTGAATATGTCAAATGTGCTATTATATTTTGAAGAACATAGAACATTGGATGATTAAAAATATATGTGCTTGAAAAGTCATACAAATGCTTGATAAGGATACAATAATGAAATATGTGCAATCTTCAAAAAATTTATACCCGCATGTGCTCTAACTAATATATTGAATGCTCAAATACTAGGTTCGAGAATGTTGCGCAGGCTAATCAGGACACCTTGTCTATAAGATAGAGTTGTAAGTTTTACCCAATTAGTCTAATCTTCCTCCTTGCAAGGAATGGAGTTGATAAATCTAGTAATTTCAAAATAAATGTTCAAATCTTAAAATAAGAATTTCTAAGTCCAAATCACATAATAGGGTCCTCCTTATAAGGATAAAAGTTGACAAGACTTCTATCCTAAAAGTCTAGACTAAAAAAATTAAATGTTCCTTTAAATATAAATGTTCCCAATGAACTTTTCACGATAATGGTAGTGCTTACTAAAAATCTCAACCAGCAGGGTTAAATTCAAATCAACATTAAATGTAAGTTTCAAATCAATATTCAAGTAAATATAATCACTAGAAAGCTAATAGTTAAAATCAATCCACCTTCTGTAATAGTTTGTCGAAAGTGACAAACATTAGATTGACTTTAGCTCACAAAAGAGTGAATATCATATCAAGTGTATCCCTATATTCAGAATCAAAACAATCTCATGCCAGTAAGGATGAGGCTTGAGTTCTCTGTCCGCGTGATTTTGCCACCAAATGTCACCACAAAGTAGCGGTTACGGCCAGTCCTTTGACCAGGTGGTTGCCGCTAATTCATACCATTATATTACAGACAGGGCTACAACCATTTCAGTTATGAGTCATAAAGGTACAATTGATTGACATAAAATCTTATGATAGCTAAGTTAGACTTAAATTTGTCTCATTAGACAAACATTCACCCCAGATTTATAAAGGTCCCTTGGAAGGCATAACTCATGATTGCTTACAAGAATCCATCAGTCAAGTATCAGGGACCACGACGATCCGAGATGACAACCATACGATCTTAATCGGGTTTCATCATTGTTTTTCCCCATCATCTGTTTTAAGTTCCAAAGGATAAATTTTAAAACTTAAATCCAAATATTCAATTCTTAATGATCAACCTTAATCAAAAGTGTGCTCTCACTATTGGGAGGGGTAATTAACCATATGAGATTGCGTATATGGGAAATCTTGAACCCCAAATCAAAAAAATCCTCACAAAAAGAGGGTAAAATCTCTGAATAGTGTCTTATCAACATTATAATTTGCCTTCTAAAAATTTGATAACAAACAAAATCAAAATAAAAGCAGAGTTCTGGGGAGCGATTAGAATTTTAGGAGACCACATTGTGTCCTCGTCTCCCGATCAAACTTTCAGTGGATGTAGGAATGCAAATTAATAGTTGATCGGGGGCTTAGGTTTTACTGGTAGGTGTCAGGGTAGATTTTTAGTGAAGGTAGAAATGTTAGATTTTAAAAATTTAGGTTTAGAACTAGTTGGATGATGCGGGAGATAATATGCAACATTATTAAGAATTTTGGTTTAGGACAAAAAAGGCAAAACATTAAAAAAATTTAGTGTTTGTCACTCTGATACTAGATGATTCTATTCTAGAGATCCTAAAAGCAGTCAACAAATGGATTTAGCAAGAAAATGATTGTAGACTAGCAAGGGAATGTTAATATGGACGGTCGACGACATTTGAAGGGGAATAAGCAATGTTCAGTGGCTACCTCGGCTGAAAACAACAAGAAAAACTAGAAAACGACAAGATATGAGTAGCGAGGAGGTTCCATCGCATGTTTATGAACCAACAACCCCTTTTCAAAGCCCCCCCCCCCCCCCCCCAAATCAAGCCCTCACAAAAATCCTACGACTTGAATAGGATTCCACATTCTTCCCTCCCTTTTGTGTTCCGATCGCATGTCACATCAATTTGGGATCACTTTTGTGTTACATTTTATATTTTTTATTTTTTATTTTATTTATGTTTTGATTTGAAATAAAACATGTTTGACATGTTTGATTAAAATATAATTGTTTTTTAAAACATTCAAAACAAAAAAAAAAAAATTGAGTGTTTTCAGGAACAAATAAATTTATTTTTAGACAAAAAAAAATGTTAAATCACAATAAAGAAATATGCTTTTAGAAATAAAAGAAAAAATGAAATAAAAAGACAAAATTGATCCCAAACAAGCTCTTAGCTTGTTGTTCTTCAGTAAACCTAAAGTTATATTAAGATTAAAAAACAATGCAGAAATAAGAAAGTTTTCATACCACAATGCGCAATGCATAAGGATCATCATCCCTGTCTATCAGAGCTAGTAGCAAAATATCAAGTGGAAGCAGCTCATGCGTCCAAATGAAAAAAGCAATGCCTGATATTGCTTTAGATAGAAGGTCCTGCTAATATAAAAAACAAATAAAAACCCAGGGTCAAAATTAATCAAACGAAAATACATAGCACACATGTTGATTCCACTTTACCAAAATAATTAGGGGGAATTTACAAACATAGCACACAATTTGTATACATTTACATACCTCACATCTAAACTTTAATATTTACGCACATGAGACTCAAAGCTTTAATATCACATAAAAATAACACTATCACAGCTTTTTAAAAGTAAAATACACCTTTTCATGCATAAAGCACCAAAGTGCAATATGTGTAAATATGAAAGTTTAGGTGTACAATATAAATACACAAGAATTGTGTGCTACGTATGTAAATTTATATCAAACATGAAAAAACAATTGAGAAGATTGAGGTCTATAGGGCAAGGGGGTGAGGGGCATGACCTGGGCTGTATGTCCCCTCTGTAGCTCCAACTGAATATGGTGCAGAAGTACATCTACCATCGTGTATATGTTTGATGTCACTTCTTCAGGAGAAAATTCCCTTAAGACACGTGCCTGCACTCAGCTCCAACATTATAAGTTTGTAGAAGTCATATGAAGATTGGAGTTGTACAAAATTCAATGCAGAAAGATAAGGACTATACAAGGTTTGCACTACTGATGCTCTCAGGGAGTCCGTTCATAAGCACCCAAGCACCCGCACAAAGATACTGACGATGTTGAGGAAAGCTATGACTAAGATATGTCAGAGAATAAGTTGGATCAGCTGATGGAGAAAGAAGCTGAGTGCACTGGTTAATCACTGTGGTTTCCGCCTGGCGAAAGAGAAAATTAAATACAGGATCTAAAAAATGCAGTGTATCAGCACATGATCAACAACAGTACATTAAAATGAAGCAGTAACAGATTGATAATATTTTCATTTCAAAATTAAACTGTTCCTAGAAAACTTTTGAGGCTGTTCGCAGTTTGTCACTGGGGTTGGGTGGTGAGCTAAGGAGCTGCAGTTTTAATATCCCCTTATTCAGCAATTGGGAGGAGAATAGTCAAGCTCCAATCCTGCCCAAGCTCACAAAGATTGCAAGGTTGTCTTCCAGTGTTCCAGAGTCCACAACGCCAAAAAGCACGAAGGATATTATGAACCACCACAATTATGGTGGCTACAGTTCTTGAGGCTCTTACAAAAACCAAAATTGTCTTTATATAGCAAGAAAATTCAAACCCTTGGATGCTTGAGATGAAAGTGATCATAATTGAAGGGGACAACAAATATGTAATTGACTTCGTCAGACGGTGTCAGGCTGAAAGCACGTGGAACCCCTGACTACAGGACAGTCCATATATTGTTTCATTTTGTAATCAGAGAGCACAACAAAGCAGCTCACTTTTTTGTATGACTTGCCTTATAGGATAATCTTTTGTTAAAGCATGCACACGTGCCATATGCTATTTTTTTTTTCTCAGTAGGGAAAATAGTCTCACTTTGTTCATGCATAGTTGCATAGTTTTGCACTCCTTTTCTGATATTTTGAAATAGAATGCAAAATGCAACAAACAAGAAGTTGATAGTTGAAACAAAACAAACCTGCTGCCACGCCTGAATAGCCTGGCCCCTCTTATCCATTCTGCCAATTAAGGAGTCTCTTATAAGTGGAGGGAAGTATCTTAAAGTCTTTTCTGACCATGTGTGCTGACTGGTAGCCATTATTTGCTCCAACAAGGGTTGAAGATAAAGCATATGCTCAACCTCAGCAATACCACGTGTCTTGATAGTGATAGCAAGGCTAATAATTGTCATCCGATTAAGTGTCTCAGTAAATTCAGTAGGTCCCTGAAATAGCAAGCCTTTATTACAATGAGCCTTTTGTTCATAATTTAAGGACATTTTAGGGATCAAATTAATTTTTTATTGTTGTTTTTATTTTTTTTTTCTCTTGTTTTAAAAACATAGTTGTTTAATGTGTTTTTAAATTTTATTTTTTTGGGACATATACATATGTACCATCCAATTCTTATGCAGTTACATATCTAACACCTAACTTTAATTTTTACATTTATACCACAAATATTTCGTATTACTTAAAAAATACCACCATTTTTACTTTTAAAAAGTGAAATGAACCTTTTCACGCATAGGGGGGTGGCATGTGTGTAAAAGTTGAATTTTAGGTGTTAGATATGTACATACATAACAATTGAGTGGTATGTATGTAAATCTTCCAATTTTCTTTTATTTTTGTTTCTAAAAGAAAAATTAACATACTTTTGAAAGACTCAAAATAATTTTTAAGTGTTTTTAAAAAACAATCATATCTTAATCAAATATGCCATCAAATCAGAACATAAACAAAACAAAATAAAAAACAAAAATAAAAAATAAAAAATAAATTGACCCCAAACAGCTCCTAGAGTTATAACAACAAACTATGAATGAATGAATAAAGCTCTTTAACAAAAAAAAAAAAAAAAAAAAAAAAAAAAAAAAAAAACACATGATGATTAGTTTTCTCACTTTTAACTCTTTCTTCACAAGGAAAAAATCCCTTATTGAAAGGATCAAATTCATGCATAGGTTCTCAGCCAATCTGAACAGTCGGTGTTCTCCACGTTTACCCTTTATCATTGATATTATCTTTGTTACATCATACATCAAAGCTTTGTTCTTTCCATGGTACCTGGAAAAGTATTGTGAAAACACTAATAAGCAAGGTGTGGAGCACAATATGGTCGATAGTATAAATAATTGGAAGTAGACAGGATATTCAATAAGGAAGGCAGTTAAACAAAGAGAACTAAAGATGCAATTCAGAAATAAGAAGGATAAGGAAAATGATAAACTTTTTCAGGGAGTAAGAAATGAGGACAGCGAATCAAAATCAAAATTTGGATGATTTATCAGTATAATGAAAACCATATTTTAGGGATTATAGCAACCAAAAATTCAAAATTTCAAGTTCAGCTAAATTTCAAAGGAAATTTTACATACGTAGCACACAAATCTTATCTATTTACGTATCTCATTCTGATACTTTCATATTTAGATTGCATTTTGGTGCTTGCACTTGTGCATGAAAATGTATATTTCACTTTTAAAAAGTGACAACATTGCTATTTTTGATCTCATAAATATGAAAATTTAGGTGTGATTTTATGGAAACACATAAGATTTGTTGAGTGTTATATATATAAATGTCTGACAAAGGTGTATCCTACTATAGGAACGGAAGTGGCTTTCCGTAATCTTACCACAATCCCATGACCGCACAAGCGGCCGGCTCACACGATCAACAATGAACCGAACCGAGCGGCCCCGTTTTCAATTCATTTCCAATTTTAGGATGTTTCCTCCTTTCCTTTCATTCCTTTCTAGTCATTTCCTATATATTTGTTGTATTAGGGGCTTGGTTTTCAGTTTTGGATTGTGTTTCTGTCAGGACAGCCGTCGGCATCCCTTTTTTTCCCTTTTAGGGTTGTTTCTACGGGTCGAGTGGTGCTCCGGCTGTATCTCATTTCCTCCCACTTTGTTATCGTGCCTTCCTCATTGCAGCCACTGCCCTAAACAGTTGTTCCTGGCTGTTTGCTGCTGTTCCAGCCATCCCAAACCACTTCCTTGTCTACTAGCCGCTCTCCCAGGCCTCCTGAACTGCTTCCTTGCCACATATCCGCTGTCCTAACCACCCGGAACCCCCTCCCCGCGGCCTAGCTGCTGTCAACACCGCTTCGGATCGTTGTTTTTTCGTTGCCCGACCCACCTATCCACTTGTCATCCCGGGCACGAAATAACCCCCGCTTCCCTATTGCACCGCCCACCTGCTCCACCTCCCCATCGTGCTGTCAACCCCCAAAATCCATCACCATCATCGTCGGTACACCCTAGTCATAGTTTCTATGTGGTGTATGTTACTGTTTTCTATTTTCCATGCGTCAATTGTATCAGCCTATTCGCTTTTCCAGTAATAATATTCGTTTGCTTATTGTAGTTTGAGTTAACACCGTTATCAATACCGCAATTTCAAATATATGTTAGGTCAAACCAGCTTGAAATATATTGATTAAAACTGAGCTCAAAATCATTTTGAATTGGTTTGGGATAAAAATCTGAATAAACAAGAAAGATGTGAACTTGCCAAGAGTAACTGGAAATAGAGCAACTCTTTCTCTAAAAATATACAAAATAACTGTATGCATGATTCTTCAAGTCAGGCGTCTTCAATTAGATTTTCAGCAAGCAGTAGTGGACATGAAACTGACACAAAATGGGTTCAGGTCTATTCTCATCACAACCAAGTCAATTTGAATTTTGAATCGAGTCAAAATCCCAACGAGAGCCAACTTTGGTATCTTTATCAACTATAAATGTTATATAGACACATTGCAAATAATTAGCGATCTCACATATCAAGAAACCATTGGATCATCAACGTTTTTCCTGACTTGTGCCTTTTCATATCAAACAAACCTAATCTAAAGGATAACTGTTCATTCAATTTTTAAAGGCCATTTTAATAAGGTATATGAATATTTTATGCAACCATAAGAAAGTTACACAACATTAAAGTTTGGCTTTGAAAAATGATCTGCATTGCACTTCTCAGTGGTTATTGTACCTTTTAATGAAATATGGTCTTCCTGAAAAAAAAAAAAAATTAGGACTTCCCCAGAAGTCATCAGGCATCTTCAGAAAAAGGGGCCGACAATTGAGGAATGATTTTATTAACAAGATGATTAGTATGTTAAGACATGTTTAGTTATCTTTAAAAACATTCAAAATACTTCAAAGTTATTTGAGTATTTTTAGAAATAACTTGATTTGTTTTTAAAAACAAAAATAAAAACATGCGAGAATATATATTAAACAAACGTTTGAAAAGTTGGCACTATGATGGATCAAGGTTACCTGTACAATGGCAACAATCTATAGTTTAATATTTCTAAGAGCAAAAGGGAAACGCCAGGCTTGCTCAAAATTGATGGGGATCTCTGAGTCAAATTCTGCAAGAGGTGAAACGTATTAGTACAATACAAGGTAAATTATAAACAGTTCAAAATAGAATAAATAACAAGAAACAAAACTATAAATATTATAGACTTTAGATCTTTAAAAATTCTAAGATTTTCATCGTTTCAACTATTACGTTATATTATGTAGATTTAATCACTCTAAACATGCACACATAAATTAGCGACATCCTATGGGACAAAATTGATGCTCTTAAGTGCTATAAAAAAGATTAATATTGTTGAATCCAAATTTGTCCGATAGATCGTGCCCAAAGAATAGAGTGTTAAACCGAGGAAATAGAGAGAGAAAAAGAAGTAAGAATTGTCCCCTCGGGGAGAATCAATATGTTCTCGGGCTCGTGGGCCCATTTTATCCCACAAAACATAGATCTTACAATTGGAAGGAGCCAAAAGATCTTTTTAGATGGAAAGGGCCCTTCTATTTATAGATGACAGGAGGGCCAAAAATAAATTACAATATTACCAAGGGTTGTACAAAATATTTTAGTCTTTTGTATTGGTGCGAGTTGTTAGAAAGTCCTCTGTCCGAGTCCTCTATCAGGAAGAAAAGTCCTTTGTTTGAGTCCTCTGTCTGGGAGGAAAAAGTCCTCGTTTGAGTCCTCTGTCAAAGGGGGGAAGTCCTTCATCTGAGTACCCCTTCAGGGGAAAAGTCCTTCGTGTCAGTCGTTCGTTGGGGGAAAAGTCCTTCGTCTGAGTCCTCTATTAGGGAAAAGTCCTTAGTCTGAGTCCTCCTCATGAGAAAAAAATTCCACTGTTGGAGGAAAAGTCGGCCGAGGGTAGCCAATTTGACAGGAGCAGAAAATAAATTGCCTCGAGATCCGTGCAAAACATGTTTGAGTATACATATTAAGTTCCACAATTTTCTCGCTCCTTGATAGCAACAACTGCGATAAGGACAAGAAAATGTATAAGTCAAATAAATCTTGAACATATAATTTGCTAAGGATATTCCCTGCTGGCTGTTTTTCGTGCTCGGTCCTGGTATCTTTGTCGTCATCTGCTGGATTTGTTATTCTAGTGTTTTATGTCGAAGGAGAAGTTTTATGTTGAGAGAAAAGTCAGTCGTTGGAAGAAAATTTTTCTGTTAGAGGAAAACTCGGTCGTTAGTGAAAAATTCTCTGTTGGAAGACAGGTTAGCCATCAGAAGAAAAGTTCTCCATTGGAAGAAAAATCCTTCGTTAGAGAAAAAGTCGACCGATGGTAGCAAATTTGATAGGAGCAAAAAACATATTGCCTCGAGATCCATGCAGATCATGATTTAATATACGCATATACAAGTTCGTTGGTTCTCCTAATTTGAGATTTTAAATTTTTTTTATAACATTAAAATCAATATTACAATTACTTTTTTCATAGAGAGAGTTATTGGGTGCCGCCAAATCATGATAGGATTAAAAATTATTTTTGATTGATAGGGCTTGACTCGATTGAAAACTATGCTAAAATCCACAAGAATAGCAAAAAGCCTTTCTAGATTAAGGGTTTACGAAAGGCTTAAGAGTTTGAGCAAATTTATGTGATGCAGAACCCCTTCCCTTTTCCACGATATTGCTACAGTGCGAGGGAGACGGGCCACACCAATAGAGCCTAATCAAACCGAGTGACTCCCCTTCCGATTTCTTTTGAATTTCTAGCATAATTCCTTTAATCCTTCCTTCCTTTTTAGTCCTTCCCTATATGTTGTATTAGGCTTTGGATCCTCAGTTTTTGGCGTAAGCTTGTTTAGAACCGCCGTCGACGTTTATTATCTCTCTTCGAGGGTTGTATCCGAGGGATTGAATATTGCTTCACTTGTATCTCTTTCCTGAGGTGGTCATTATCCTTCCTCTAACCTTCAACGGATCCCCATCACCCAACCCCTGCTGCAGCCGCTGGAATAACAATTTTTTGTTGCTGTTTCCTGCAGTTCCACCAATTTCAGCCACCTTCCACCTTTCCCAAGCTTGCTGCAGCCCACTACAGTCGGGTCTCCACCCATCCCCAACCTTCCCATGTTGCTTCCCGCCTACTTCCTCCACGGCCACCGCCCAAAACTATCATCCAACCTACTGTTCTGCTGTTTCCAGCCTCCTTGATACAGCAGTTAACCCAAACCACAATAGGATAACCATATATTATTACCGAAAGCAAATAGGTGTTTGCAATCAACACACTAGAAATGAAAATTACAACAAACACGACAAAGATACCATGGGTGGTGGAGGTCGGCGAAGTGGTTGGGGAGCGAAGGTAGATGACTGAAATGGAGTTGTAGGTGGTTGGGACAGTCAAAGGAGGGGTTGGAATCGCGTTGGCAGTGAGATGGAATGCTTGGACAACCAGGGTAGCAGATGAGGGGGTGAGCGAAGCGGCGAGGAATGGTAGGAAAGGCTAGAACAACCGGGGGTCAACAGGAAAACAACAAGTTTTTTTGTTTTCCAGTGACAACAACAAATGGAAGAAGGGGGGTGTAGGAAAGCTCGACGACTGTCCGGGACAGAGACAGCGAGCAAGAAAGGTTGGAATGGGATGACTGCAGTGAAAACAACAACAAAAAGCTACTTTATTGGGGGAGGCTGCAGTAGTGAAGGACAACATGGAGCAGCGAGGTGTGATGGATGAAGGATAAATTGCCACTTGGAAATCAAGATGCAACCAAAGTATCACTTGGAACCGTAAGATAAAACACTTGAGGGGAAGAAGAGACGTCGACGACTGTTCTAATAACAAGGCACCAAAAACTGACTTGCAAACCCTAATACAACATATATTATTTTGGCATGTCTCCCTCGATTAATATTTCAGCCGATTGTATCAGCTAAAGTATTGCGGTATGTGTTTTCTTTTTTTTTTTCATGGTAAACTCCTGTGCCAATCTTCTGGGATTGGGAGAAATTCGACTTCATTACTCGAAGTTTCGGGTTTCTTGCAACACAGAGTTAAGTCTGCTACGTTGAAGGTGGCAGAGATATTATAATCCTTTGATAGTTCGATCATGCAGGTGTTGTCATTCCAAATCAAGTCTTGACAGAATAAATATGCATTCTCTATTGGCTCATCATGAGTTGGAGCTGCATATAGAAGTAGGTTCCCACAATGTAACTCTTGAGCCCTCAAGTTTGAAACCTTCTTCCACTTCTCGTATTCCGTGGAATATAACTTATAAACCAAAATATGAGGAAAAATCAACTCTGGGGTAAAGTCTGAAGCAAGCTGCACCACTTTCACTAGCAATCACTCAGGAGAGACCTCTTCTCCACTAATAGAGCCCTGAAATCCATTGAAGAAGTTCCTTCCCCACCAAGCTCCTAAGATAAATTTGAAGTCTGGGTTTCATCCCTTCTGTTTCGACACTGATGATGGGTACCTTGCTGAACTGAACTAACATCTGAATAACTACAGGTAATCTACCAAATATGGCACAAAGGAGCCCCATTTTTGACGTGTTTAACCTCTCTCAGTAGGGGCAACTAAGAAATGTATCTATAGATTTGAATGTCTGGATTTGTTGTCAACCCAGAGCTGCCAAAAATGCTCGTCGTTAGCAAACAGCTTGTGTTCGGATCGATGAGTAGCTATTGTTCGATTCGTTTGTTCGACAAGCAAGTCGAACACGAATAAATATTTTTAACTCGATTTATAAATGAGTCAAATACGAACAAGATGTTGCTTGATCGTGTTCAACTCATGTTAGCTCGAAATAGATAAATAATAAATATATAATATATACATAATACGTAAAAATTAAATTAATGATACGTTTAATATAAATATAAAAAAAAAATTTAGATTTTAGAAATGTAAATACATAAAAATTGGGTGGTATGCATGTAAATATGTTCCCTCAAATTAAAAAGAAAAACAAATTTTAGATGATAAATATATAAATACAAAAGAATTTTTTGGTATCCATGTATATGGATTTAAAAACTTTCCCAAAAATTTCGCTCATGCCATTGACCACGGTCCACGACCCACTGCTGCGAGTGTTACTTATGTAAATACGTAAATAATAAGCGATATGTATGCAATTTCTTGGTTTCATCTTGGGAGACTCATTTGCTTTGCACATTTTTGTGAATTGTGGCAGACGTCCTCTTCATTTTATCCTACATTGAGAGATTGAAGAAAGTTTTATCAAGAATCAACTATAAATCTAGGAATGATAGGGAAAAGACGACATGTTTTGCTCCACTCTTTTATAATACTAATGAAGCAAATATATATATATTGGATATTATATTGAATATTACTTTACCTTTTCCGGGAGAGGTATAGATTGACACACAACATTAGGGATTTTGACAACAAATAAAACTTGAACAGATACCTCTTTATTGCACCCACTGCCGTGTGTTTGGTTGGCCACTCTTTCTCAATATTATTAGTTGCATCCGAATCTAAAACCTCTAAGTAAAAATGCTACTGGATCTGCCCCACTTCATTCCTGTCCCTCTTCCGCTCCCGAGTGCATTCCACAGACTATTGAAATACTGGTTGACACAATGCTACCTCTCCCTCCTACTACAGGATACAATATTGTTTCTGTTCTTCCGACTGATGTATTGGCAGATGGTTCACTTGGACATCCTATAGTCTCTATCACTGTTGAAAACAATACTGCAGGATCCTTACCTCCAAAGGATATTTTTCGGTCTGATAATCAAGATAGTATCGCAGCTCCACATCCTCAAGAACCATCAGGTGCTGAGGAGACATGTTTACAATCTCTTCAGAGTGAGAATATTGTTACTGTTAGTTAAGAGCCAAGGGCTCATCCTCTTCTACATGCTCGACAATCTGTTGACCAAACTGATAAGATGAGTCAGTCTTCGTATGAGGAATGACAGTTATACACATCTAGGAAGAAAAAAAAAGAATGGAGGCACACCCCAGCTTGGGAACTTAATGGATGATACTTTAGTAACTTTGGGTAATGGCATGACACTCAGCAATTTGTTAGCTGGCTCCGCTCGTAGAACCGGAGGCAG